AAGTGCAAAAACATATGGGCAATAACTGTGTTCATGGAAAAATTTCCAAGAATGGCTTTTTCTACACAATCTCACACTCACTCTGGCCCTCCGACAAATCGCCGGACACGATATCCTACAATGAGAAATCCGGCGGCCCCACCGAAACTCACCCGCCGGAAATAGTGAAAATCGAGCCCCAGCCCGTCAAACTCGAGCCCATTCCCTTACCAAAGGAGGAGTCCAAGCCCGAGCCAGAGGCCCGAACAATCCCCACATGGGAAGAAGCCATCAAGAAAACCGAGGACAAAAAGCCCGGCCCAAACAAGCCCATGAGGACACCCCACAATGTAAAACGGGCAATGAGTGCGGGCCTCCGGGCAGATTCCATCCTCCGGACCAAAACTGGGCACCTTAAAGAGCATTTCAACCTCGGGCAGAAGCTCGGGCATGGGCAGTTCGGGACCACATTCCTCTGCACCGAGAAAAAAACCGGGAAAAAATACGCCTGCAAGTCGATCGCGAAAAGGAAGCTTCTAAATCAGGAGGATTTGGAGGATGTTAGACGAGAAGTCGAGATTATGCACCACCTGTCAGGAAATCCGAGCGTGGTCTCGATTAAAGGGGCTTATGAGGACAGCGTGGCAGTCCATGTGGTGATGGAGCTTTGTGCAGGTGGAGAGCTTTTCGAGAGGATTGTTAAGAGAGGGCATTATACGGAGAAGAAGGCTGCTGAGCTGGCGAGGACTGTGGTGGGGGTTATAGAGACGTGTCATTCGTTGGGGGTGATGCATCGGGACTTGAAGCCGGAGAACTTCTTGTTTGTTGGGGAGGAGGAGGATTCGCCCTTGAAGGCAATCGATTTCGGGCTTTCGGTTTTCTTCAAGCCCGGTGAGTTGGAGAGAAAACATTGTGATGTATTATTATCATATGTGTGTTTTGATGTGTTTAAGTTGAGAAATTTGAAGTTATGCATTAGAATTTGCGTTCATTCTTGATTACGTGTAATGACTTTGTTTGGTGCGCGGAAGTTGTAGGTAGTGCATGCATAATAATATCTTGTCTGAATATCTGATGATATGAATCTTAATGGACTATAAATGCAGTCGAGATGAATCAAAAATCTGATGGCACCATAAAGATTGTTTCTTTAAAGCTATAGAAAAGCATGAGCTTTGTGCATTTGCATAGGTGTCTTTATGGTAATACCTTTGTTTGGTCGAAACATTTTTGGCGAAATCCTCTCGGATATTGTTGAGACATCTTCCAAATTATTATAATCTTAGTATTTGATGATATAAATCTTAGTGAACTCTGAATGCAGTCGACATGAATCCAAAATCAAATCCAAAATCAGAAAATCTGATGGCACCATAAAAATTGTTTCTTTTCTTAGAAAAGCATAAGCTTTGTGCATTTGTATAGGTGCATTCATATTTGATGGTTTTACCTCTATTTGGTCGGAATATTTTAGGAGAAACTTTCTCAGATATTGTTGGGAGCCCTTACTATGTAGCCCCTGAAGTCCTTTTAAAGAATTATGGACCAGAGGCCGACATTTGGAGTGCAGGGGTCATAATCTTTATTCTTCTCTCTGGTGTGCCTCCATTTTGGGGTGGTAAGATTATATAGAAGCTTTCTTTCCTTTTTCATAACTCGGTTCTTCTTTTTTCACACTAGTTATTGGTTATCTTTGAATATACATACAACTCTCGTGCATTTTTCTTTCTTTCGGTTTTGGTAGAGAGCGAACAAGAAATATTCGAGGAGGTCTTACGTGGAGATATCGATTTCACTTCAGACCCCTGGCCCACGATTTCTGAAAGTGCCAAGGATTTGGTGAAGAAGATGCTCGAGCGCGACCCAAATAAAAGGTTAACGGCTCACCAAGTTCTATGTGAGTTAATTCATAATGATAATCCTGAGAGAATATTTCAAATATAATGTCACTTACTCACATTCATTATACCAAAATTAATGTATTGTTAGTTCAAAACGTCATTTTTCTAATTTTGCAATATATGTCTTGAAGAAGAAGAAGAGGCGATTTTCTTCTGATTCTATACAATTTTTTTTATTCCATTTCTAAAAAACTTTTTTTTTTTGTTTTTTTACGTGATCACTATCATAAAACGACTTATTCATGCTCGACAGGTAATCGCCGAGAGTTTATCAGAAGAAGAAATTGCAGGGCTTAAAGAAATGTTCAAGATGATCGACACCGACAATAGTGGCTACATTACTTTCGAAGAGCTCAAGGCCGGCTTTAAAAAATACGGATCCAATCTCAATGAATCCGAAATTCATGACTTGATGAATGCTGTCAGTATTTTTTTTTTTTTTAATCTAATCACATTCGACGAGTTAACTTTTTCTTTTCCTAAAAGTTTACTTAAACGAGTTTTTTTTTTTTATTGTTTTTGTTTTTCTTAAAATTAATTTTTGCGAACAGGCAGATGTCGATAAAAGTGGCACGATTGACTATGGCGAGTTCATAGCAGCAACCCTGCACTTGAACAAGATCGAAAAGGAAGATCATCTCTTTAGGGCATTTTCGTACTTTGACAAGGATAGTAGTGGATACATCACACAAGACGAGCTCCAAAAGGCTTGTCAAGAGTTTGGCATCGAAGATTCTCACTTGGAGGAAGTGATTTGCGAAGCCGATCAAGACAATGTAAGTAAAAATAAATAAGAAAAACTAATGTTATTTTGTTCACAATTGTGATCTTTTGTTATCTTTGTATTTTGCTAATAATTATATATCATTTTTTTTTATTTAATTGTAGGATGGGAGGATAGACTATAATGAATTTGTGGCCATGATGCAAAAAGGAAATGGTGATTTTGGTAATAAGAGATATCAGAGTAAGTCTGATGATGGATTCAGAGAGGCAATGCCAGTTTGTTAACGAACCCTTTTTTTTATTTTATTTTTTTTATTATGAACTTTGTAATATTCTCATGTTTTCATAGTTCTATAGCAACTGGGTTTAAATTTTTGGTTTTAATCAGAATTTTGTTGATACTCTGCCCCTACTATTAAATGTGTTGTTATCAGGTGGCGGAGCCACCCATGGACTAGGGTGGACTCCAGTCCTAGGTAAAAAAATAGATTTTTTTTCTTAAGTAGACCTATATGATTTTTTAGTTAGCTCATATTTTTTAATCAGCCCAAAAAAGTAAAATTACGGTCTCTCCCTTCTCTTCTCACACACTAACACGCTTTTCACATCTCACACAAAATAGACGGGATTTAGACTCTGATATCTCAACCTCACGCCTCTGTTAATCTGAAGTTATTTTGTAATCGCAAGTTTCAAAGCCCTCTACTCTCAACCTGTTCTCTCAAGCCTCTGTGAACGGCGCATCATTCATTCGGCGCCGGCGGCGAGGAAGCGAGAGATGCGACTTGCGAGACCGGTGTGCGGGTGCGGCGATTGTGAGGATTGGAGGAAGCGAGACCTTCGAGGATCGAGTGCCGTGCGGCAGTCGGCTAGTCAGCGGGATTGAGAGCGACTCCGAGGTCAGGTAACGACGGCTAAACTTGAACGGCTTATTGATTAATTTAGGTTTATTGGCTATGAATTGAAATATGGTGTAATTTGTTTGTTCAATTGCTTAATTTTGGATGCTAATCCTTTTATTTTTGTGGGGAATGCAATCTGTAAAAATAATTCTCATTTTCAGATAACTTACAAAAGGGAAAAATGTTCTGTAGAATATTAATTTAATTTTGGTGTGAATTTTTTTCTCTTTGTTTTGCCATGTCATATGTGAATTGAAACCATAATTGGTTTTTCTCCCATGGTTTGTGGGAAATGGGAATGTGTTTGTGGGCCTGTGGCTTTATTTGTTTTGTCAAAAGTTTTGGAAATTTATGTTAAAGTTGAGATCAATAAGAGAACATGTTTTTAGCTTAATTATACGTGTTAATGCTTGTTGATCATGTACTCGATGCTTGTTTAAAATTTGTGGATGCTTGCTTGACCTTCATAATAAGAGTGTGTACAACTTGGCCTTCATAATAAGAGTGTGTACAAAAACCCACAAATCGTTCTTGATTACCTTTTTTTTTTTTTTTTTNGTTTTTGGTAATTTGTAGTTTGCTTATATATCCAAATGCTTGATTAAGTTACTATTTTTTTTGTTAACTTGACAGGTTTCAATCATAATGGTGGGTCAATGTACGAAGAAAAGAAAAACAATCAATTCATTCTTTAAACCTTCTTCAATTCATCGGTATTTTAAAATCCTAGCTCTGCCCCTGACTATTATTTGGTGACCCCTTAGGAAAATTGGTGATTGTTTTTGTTAGTTGTGCAGTTATAACTCTTTCAATGGGTAAAATATTAACTGCAACACGTATTCTACGTATTTTTTGACTTTATAACCTATATTTTTTTTTATAAAAAATACAACATGAACTGACATTCATAATTTGTGACATGTGCATCTTGACCATATATGGTTAAAATGCATAGCAGCATACGATCTTGCAAATTATGAATATGTTCATATAGTGCAAATTGCATTTTCCCACTACTAATACTATAAATTGCAAAATTATAGTACAAGTTGCAAAAACCGTTTGACCCCTTTTTTATCACGCCAACATACTTTTATACACAAATTTCATACTTTAAAAAAAACTTTAAATAAAAGTATGATATTTTATAGTATAAATATGTAACATTATAGTTGTCCATTGGTTAGACAGACTAACAGTAGCATTTGTATACTAAAATTTCAATAAATGTTGCATCATTAGGATTTTATAAAAACAATAGTATCTTCCAAATTGGAGATTGATGAATTATATGTTAATTCCATCTTCTCAGCCAAAATAATAGATTTCAAAAATATTAACCCCACTGTTTCATAATGAATTCTTTAGTGGTAAAAATTGGTCAAAGGTGTTAATTAAACAAAAAAATATTTGGTTCTCAATAGTTCAATGATAAATACAATTAATATTTCATAATTAGGTATGGAATGTTGTTGATGCGTATATTTGCGCCAAACAGTTTAATTGAGTTTTAACTTCTAGGCTGTTATTTTCATCCTCACTATTATAAAGTCAATTTTGCCGTAACTTTGACCTTTTTTAGCTACACAGTTTAATTATGGTCAATGTAGTTTTCTTAGTTTAATAACTAGTTACAATATATTTAGATATATTTTTTTTTGTTTATTAATCATATTTATCACCACAATCGACTTCACGAAGTGCCCAGATATTTGGACTGCAATTAACAAATCCAATGTCAAATTGGGACAAACTAGGATAAATTGCAAGAAAAAATTAAAGGAAAAAAAATGAAACTTGTAGTATGCACATTAAAAAGTAACATTAAGTTCACCAAGTTCTATAATTTACATATTCGACTAAATTTTGTGTAAAAAATCATCTGAAAATTGTACGCGTATGATAAAGATTCCCTCGATGTTGTAATTGGATGTTGTAAATGTGAAGGTTCGTTAACTTCATNTTATTTACTTTTTTTACAAAAAATATATATTATTATATATCTTATAATATAGTAATTTTATAACTTATATCATATAATTACTTGAAATATAAATATATTAATTGATAAATAATTTAATTTTTTAATTAATATTAAAAATAATTTTATTATTGTTATAAAGTAAATATAATATATTTTTTAATACATACAATATGGATGTTAAATCGAAGCTCATCAAGAGATGATTAATTTGATATATTATATATGTAAAACTGAAAAAAAATACAAAATTTATTAATTTTTAAAATATTTACAATTCAATGGTTATAATAAGAAATGATATTAAAATGCAATTAATACATGTAACATGACCATAAATAATCAACATATTTATGGATAATCCGAACCTAATTATTTTTGGATTGGAAGTAAATTAAAATCTACCCAAGCCTAATAATGAAACATGTAATTTTGCCACATAGGATCCCGAAGCATGCGAGCCTGCCACTTATGTTCAGCTAGTTCCGGATTAATATATAGGAGGGAAGGGATAACATTGGATGTGCTTGTTTTCATCAAGATATCAGAACTTAGGATTTGAAATTGCAAAATGTCAAATTTATTATAATAAATAATCATCCAATTTATTAAATTGCAACAAACGAATAAAAAAAATAACAGAAGGAAGAAGAAGAAAGTTTGACACTAATATTATTGTTATACATCTATTATTGTTATAAACGAATAAAAAAATAATTCATTTATTATTCTTGTTGTTGTTATATATTCACAACAAAAATAACTAAGTTATATACCACTAAATTATTTATTTTTAATAATTTTTTTTATAATTGAGCAGGTTATCAAACCGGTAAAGCTAAATACTTAGGGGGTGATTGGATATGAATTTTACTAGTAAAAAATTAGTTTTTTTTTTAAACTATAGTTAAGTTTGAAAAAATGTGGTATAGTTAGTTGTTAGTGGATATATTAAAATAATATTTAAAATAAAATAATTAAAATTGATTTGATGTAAAGGTAGGAGAAAATTATTGGAAGTGATAGTTAAAATTAAGTGAGTGGATGAATAGTAAATTAAAGTTGATGTGATGTGTAAGAATAATTGGTTGATAATATTTAATTATATTGATAATATTAGAGATAGTTGAGTTGAATTAAAGTTGAGTTAAATTTGAGTTTTGATTAGTTTTTTTACTGTACAATCTATATACAACGCCCCCCTTAGTGGTTCATCATCAAATAGTGGTTGAACCGATTGGTTTGATATTTATTTATTAATATTTAAGTATATATGGAAATTAAATAATAAAATTTATATATAAAAATACAATTAATTAAATATTTAGATAATGTAATACATGTAGGTACCTAAATTAAATATTTAGATAATGTAATACATGTAGGTACCTAAACTATTTGATATAATGATTTATACATATCTAAAATATAAATATGGAATTTTTATATGAAAAATATATAAAAAAATGTTTTATTAGAAAAATAGAATCAAGAATTGAATCGATCAGATTCTTGACCGATTCTTTGACAGACGATTTTCTAGATAAGGCTATACCAGTTAGGTGACCGATTCTCGAGCCACTTCAGGTTGGTCCGATCTTCATAACCATAATTTTTAACGAGCATTAATAACGTTCAAGTGTTCAACCATGAATTTTGTTAAAAAAATAAAAAATATATAAAAAATAAAAAAATAAAAAAAAAAAATAATAATAATAATAATTAAAAACACAAATTGCAAATAATTAATCAAATATTTAAACTTGCTAATGTCATTTTTGTACACACCTGTGTGAATTTGATAAATAGCTGAGCGAATTCTTTCTTGTCAGCATCGTAATTGTAGAAATCGTACAAGATGGGTGCCAAAATTGCTTGATGCAAAAGCTGTATGTACATGAGAGGCTCTTAGTGAAAGTGCTTAGTTAGAATATCAAAATCTATATAAAAGGGGCGTTTTTGCTGAAAATAGAAAAGGCATATATACTGCTACAGTTTTATATGAAGTAGCGAAAATTAAAATTATTTGTTTGGAATTTTATTTATTCTTTTCTTGAATTTCNACTTTGTCTTATTTGAATGGAAGGTTATCCAATTAGCAGATAATGATGGACCGAATCAGGTGAATTTCACAAAAATAAAAGGAAAAAAAATAATAATTGTTGGTTCAACAAATACGAATAATATTTTTTTTATATCAAAAAATATATAATAGTGTTTGATTTTTATTGTTTAGTTATGTTGGTGGAATTTCACGGAAAAGGGCAAAAGCAAATTAAAGTGAGTATTTTTTTTTTTTTAATTTTCATTTATTTACATTTCAACTAGATAAATATTTACTGAAGTGACAACATTGAAACATTTTCATGTCCATTAATCCCATATTAACCATCTTTTATAATTATATATAATTATATTATATTCCATTAAAAGTTTGGCAAAGATATGAAAAATAAAAATACAATTTTTTCTTCGACTATGCTCGATTGACCTCACTCTGTGAATAAAATTACATACTTATACAACCAAATATCATACTCTTATTTATGTTATTTTTAATGTACGATATTTTTCTTGAAAGTATTTATATTTGTAGAAAAAGTAATTTAATTTATATTATTTTTTTAAGGTATGAGGACATTGAATTAAGTCATAATATTTCTCTAATTTTTGTCCTGTTTGTGTCTTCATCAACATGTAGGGTTTGAGTTACTAAAATGAGAATAATATTTAAAAAAAAAATGTGAACAATATAGAATGATTGACCTTGACCATGTCCTACATGAAGAAAAAAAATAGACAATAAATCATCATCTTTTTGGGTATCCCAAGAAGATTATTCATATAAAATTGATGCAGGAATTTGTTTGATCAGTTTTCTAATAATACTATTAATTATTATCAGCATTAGTAGTATTATATTACATGTTTTATTATTTTATTTTTTATTTTTCCCTTGGTTGCTGAAGTTGAATATATGTCTCCTTCGTGCTCCACATGTACAACTAGTGACAATGCCTGGGAATATTATTAATTAAAATCAATGAAACTTGTCTATGGTGTGAAATTTTTAATGTAACAAGCAACTTATTTTGACAATATTTCATTTAATATGATAATTTGATATAATGTAACCATATTGTGCATTAATTATTCAATCTAATTAGTCTTTCAATTAAAATACATTAAATCAAACCATTTGATTACTGAATAAATCACAAGATAGAACATTTCAATAATAACAACATGATAATATATTGGTATGACCTCCTTTATATCATTTTGTAACACAGTTACAATGTTAAATTCCCACAAGGTTCTCTAAGTAATAAGCTAGTTAAATTCTGATAATGATATATAAGATTTGATGAGTAAAATCTATACGAGACTCATAATTATATTGCGTTTATTTTTTGTAACTTAAGTTACAATATTAAAGATGAATATTAATTTCTTGATAGATTATGGTGATTTGGTCCTTATGGAAACAATAAAATTTAATTTTGAGAGTCTGTGTTATATATAAAATTTGGATTCAATAGAAAATCACCCTACACATTTTCCCCTCTTCTTAAGAAATTCACAAAAACTGAAAATTTATTATTTGAGTCAAATGACTACCACCAATATCCAAATGAAGCCAATTTCTAGGTAATTATTAAAATTTCAATCAATTTTGGTGAATTTAGACTATTTCCCAACTATCTTCCCTTATAAAAAGAATTTTTTCCCCTTTTATTTATTTATTTATTTTTCCTCTTTATTAAGATCAAATCTCAAATCTCATTTCATTTCGACCAATTATGAATGATCAATTGTCCTTAAAAGGATTAGGCCGTGCTAGTGGTAGTTAACATAAAAGGAAGTTAAGTTAAAATAAAAATGGAGGGGTACTTTCGTCATTTCAGACAGCCCCCGCAAACAAATTTACCCAGCTATCAGTTATCATTTCTTCCATGAAAGAGCAAACCTGAAATTCAGTGTCTCTGTACATCACCTTTTTAAAAAGAGAGCATACATGATACATTCAAGTCCCACATTTGATTTGGTGTTCAGCAATTGATAGATAAAGTTAATAAAGGTATTGTATTAATTTGATGTCATTTGTCTAATTCCAACGTGAGACTGCAATTTTAATTGCACTTGTGTTTATTTGATCTCTCAGAATCCTGTAACTTCTTGTGATCTTAATGAGTTTCTCTTGTTTAGTTTCGGTCCAAGGTTCTCGTTTTTGTTCCTTGATCGATGCTTGAAATCATTTTTTGTTAGCTGGTGTTTATTGGAATTTATATTGTTTTCATTTTTTTTTCCTCTATTGTTCTGTTTTGCTTTTCCTTTTTTGGTTGTGCTCTGATGGTGTTTGACGAATTGTTTAACTGAAAACAGATATTAATTAATAGCTGAAATATTGCTTTCTCTCCGTCTTCAAAGGATTTTCACGGTCTTGGACTTATAATGGTCTAAATATCTTATT